GCGAGGGACACAGGCAGTCACCTCCACAGAGGTGGAGATAGGTAAAGATAAGTGTGCCAGGGACTACTGCAAAGCCCTGGAGTCCAGGCTACACCGCCTCTTCTCCAGAACTCAGCTCTGGGGCTCGGGGACAGGGCGGGGTCCTGAGGAGTAGTGTGGGATGGAGGTGTAGAGAGACGACCCCCTTCCAGACAGCCTGGCCCCTCCTCAGCTGGGAAACAGGAGAAGCTACAGTGCAGGCCAGGTGGAAGGAAGGACAAGACATGCCACATACAGCCCAGACTGTCACATTTCCCAGCCCTAAGAATTTCCCAGCTGCCAGGTTGGAAAGTTCTACAACTCCTGGCCCCGTGCCCTGTCCCCCATCTCTCCCGTGGGATCCAAGAGCAGCCCTCTGCAAAATTCTCCAAGCCTCAGGCTCTCAGCTGCTTGCTCTCGGAGGAGCAAGGACTTAGGAGTCCGGAGCCTGCCCTGTCCCACTCCATCTTGCCTAGCTGGGCCCTGCACTCCTAGCCACATCAAGCCACTCCGCTGTTCACAGTGCCCCTCCCCATGCAGCTACCCCTGGAAGACCAAGGCCTAGAGAGAAGTTTGTTTACATAGTTCAGGCTGGCTTCACACTGGACTCTGGGATTACAGGTGTGAGCCGACGCCCTCTCCAGACTCTAGGGCTGGGCAGGGAGCGCCCCCAGATTCCTAGTGTTGTCTTCATCCTGAACCTTCAGCCCATCCCTGGGGCTGGGGAGAGAAGCAGCAGTGGCGGGCAAGGTGCGGCTACAGAACTTGGGAGGAGGATGGTCTCTCTGGAGGGCGCAGCCCAGGGTGGAGGTCTCATTTGGAATAATATCTGGGACATATTGTTCCGGTGGGAGTGACAGCTGCCATTGTCACCACCAATAATCAATTAGAGAGTTCCTCTGAGCATTTGTGATTAGAGGCAGCCCCACCCAGCCTTCCTTTTGTGGATTTCTGGACAGGTTAAGGCTGCACTCGGGCCTCAGTATCCCTTCTGTGCATAGGGTCAGGAGGCAAGACTAGCCCCCTGTGACAGGAAAGGGATCCCAATTCAACAGCTGCCACTGTGCCCACTCCCAATGGCACCTCTGAAGCTGCCTGGCTCTTCTGGTGTGCAACAGGTTGCAGGTTAGGCCCAGCCAGGTCCCTGGGCACAGTCCCTAACAGCATGGCCTGCTTTAGCGGGACTGGGGTAGACTTGGTACATTTTGGTCGCGTTGGTCTGAAAGGCTGAATGAAGAACTAGAAAGGAAGGGGCCGTTGGTATCAGAGAAGCTAGCAAAGACAAAAAGCCAGCTCTTGAATCTGAAGAGTTGGGTTTATCATGAGGGCAGTGGCAGCCATGGAAGGCTCTTGAGGGGAAAGAAAGGACATGGAATACTCAGAACGCCTGGGTATCTCTCAGGCACAGAGTTTGGTCAGAGTCTGGATGATCTTGGGACCCACTTCCCAGAGCACTGAGGACCGGGGGATGGGGGAGGAGAAGGTCAAAGTTGAGGGGATGCCAAAGAGGTATGAAAGACACGTGCCCAGAGGTACCCAGTGATGGTGCCAGTGTTGTTTGTCAGCTTTCTTACCCTAAAACTCTATGAAGTGTTTTCCCTATAAGAAAACTGAGGAATTCAGAGGAGTTAAATGGCTTGCCTGAAGCCACACAGCAAGGAAGCAGTCTTGTCTCGAACCCATGCCCTGAATCCCATATTCGACCAGGATGGCTTCCTGTATCTTTGCCTCTTTGACTTCAGATCCCCCCAGAGCAGTGCCTGGCTCCAGAGACGGGGCTAGGTCTGAGGCACTGGGTCTTCCCCGCAGTTATGGCGACCAGGTGCAGCACTTTAAGGTGCTTCGAGAGGCCTCAGGGAAGTACTTCCTGTGGGAAGAGAAGTTCAACTCCCTCAACGAGCTGGTCGACTTCTACCGAACCACCACCATCGCCAAGAGGCGGCAGATCTTCCTGTGTGATGAGCAGCCACTGCTCCAGGTAAAGATGGCACGAGAAACCCTGAGTCTGGGGAGCACTGCCTTGCCCTCCCCAGAAGCCCAAGTCCCCACAGTGGCACAAGTGTGGTCCCTACAGGGAAGGGGGAAAGACTGTAGAGAAGGTAGAACAGTGCAGAAGCTTCACCCTGCTAACACGGACTGAGATCGTCTAGAGTGAGCATTAGTGACAATAAGTGCTTGCTAGTGAACTACTGTATGGACACCTGCTGAGTCCCACCCGCCGAGCTGCGCTGTGCACTCTGATTTGGGTTTTGGCAGGATTTTTGTTTGTTTTGAGGCAAGATCTTTCTGTGTAGCCCCGGCTGGCCAGAATATGCTATGTAGTACAGACTGACCTTGACGTCTCTGTGATCCTCCTACCTCGGCCTCCCGAGCCCTGGGATGAGCCTGGTACTCTGTGCGTTATGCCCACCTCTCCATTCCCGTTACCCAGATGAGGAAACAGGGGCCAAGAGTGAGCCAGCTCAATGAGAGGCCCCTTCTCTGCTTCCCAAGGAGGAGCTGAGCTTGGACAGGATGTGGGCAGTGTGACCCCCTCAGGGACAAGGCCTCGCTGGGCCCCGGGTGCAGGGAGATCCATCCAGCCCTAGTCCTCACAATAACAACAATTTTCCTGCAGCCAGTCCTTTCATCACGGAGCCTGGAGCAGCTCTCGCTCTCATTAGGATGACGACACCAGCCGACTGGGTTATTAGTGCAGCTCAGTGTTTTGCTTCGAGGCCAGGACAAATCAAGACCTGGGCATAGTTGAACTTGAGCACTCCAGAGAGGGAGGGGAGTATGATTCCTGCCAAGGCTTGGAGAGGGCTGCTCAACTTTGCAGTCAGGCCTTGTGCTTTTCTCTTCTCTGAGGCCCTGCTATGTGACCCGGGGGTCATTTCAATCCTTAGCTCCGCCTTGGTTTCCCCTCTGTTCCACGGGACAAGCTAGGGGTTTGCTTTACCAGGAGAGACACACGGTGACTTCAGAGACCCGCCATGGTGCCCACATGGCTCCACTGCCTGGCCTGGTGAGCTAAGGGGGGGCTGGAAGCTCCTAGTTTCTGGGACCTAGTGTTCTAAACCTCAGCCCCTCCAGCTCACCACCTAGGCCAGCCCTGCCTGGTGAAAGGGAGGAGCCGATCTGACCTGTTTTCCTCTGTACTGGCTCTGCCAGAGCCCTGGGGTCACTATGGGGGGGGGGTCAGGGTGAGCTTCTTCCTTCCTGGGCAGAGCCCGCTGATCCTATCACGTTTGGAAGTTCTGCAGGCTCAGCAGAGGCAGCGGGAGGGCCTGAGCTGGGACACAGCAGGTGCCTAGCAGGAACAATAGGGAAGACAGTAGGGCCCAGGAGGCAGAGATGAGCCCAAGCCATCCACACCCAGGACCCAGACCTGAGAGCAGATAGACAGTAGGAGTGGGGTTTCTACTCCCCCAAGCTTGAGGAGGCTGTGGCAGAATCTGCTCCTTAGTGTTTTCCAAGCCATGGACTCCTTCCAATGCCTGGCATCAGTTACCATGTTTATGTGGGCCCAGAGGTAGGTAACAGGACCCAGAGAGAGTTGAGCCTTAGTTCCACAAACTATGTAGCAGGGCTGTGAGCGGCAGAGGGCCTGTCCCATGTTCCCCAGCGGGAGAGCACGTCTTCCATGGGGCTCCTGGGGAAAGGAAGCTTGCTGCCTCCAAAGGCCACTAATTATTCTGCCTACTCCCCCACAGCCGACCAGGGCTTGCTTTGCCCAGGCCCAGTTTGACTTCTCGGCACAAGACTCATCCCAGCTTAGCCTCCGCCGAGGTGACATCGTGGAAGTTGTGGAGTGTGGGGACCAGCACTGGTGGCGGGGCCGGGCCGGTGGGCGGCTGGGTTTTTTCCCACGGAGCTACGTGCAACCGGTACACCTGTGACCCTGTAAGACCAGAGGAGTGATGCTCCGGGCTCAGCCTCTTCACACTAACCAGGACCGACGTTGGTCACCACCAGGATGGTTGTCGGGTTCATGATGCCACCCGCCACTGACAAGGCCCAGCCTCTCTAGGCTTGAGGAGCGACTGCTAATGGCTAGAGCCCCGCCCAAAGAGTGCTCCCCTTGAGCAGTTACCTGCCGCCCATGTTCCAAAAGCACCCTTCTGATTGTGCAAGTTGCAGGGAATGTGACTTAGCTCTGAGCAACCTGGACTTCCATGAGGGTGCAGGGTAGTTCCTCCCACTTCAACACCTTGGAAGCCCCTGACCTTACCCTACCAGCACCTGATGAGGCTCTATAGAGGTGAGTCCCTTCGGAAGAGGCCCATTAGGGACAGACGCCAAACAGTGGGTCCCCTCCTGTTGGCTACAGAGAGAACCCAGCCTGGAGGCATGGGCTCTGCTTGTTCTGGAGACACAGACAGCCTACGGCCTGCACTGAGTGGACTTGAAGTCCAAGGAGGTGATGCCTGGCCATCGAGGGACCCTGAGCTGTCTCTGTCCAGAGTCACAGCACCTTCAGGTTGGGAAAACCGGGTCAGATTTGACAAGGCCTGGCATGGTGGTAGGCTTTGGGGGAGAGAGGAAGAGGGAGAGAGGAAGAGAGAGAGAGAGAGAGAGAGAGAGAGAGAGAGAGAGAGAAAGAGCCCAGGTTGCAGGGGTTCTCCCTGAGTTCAGGCTGGCCCAAGACTCTTCAAGCTCTGAGCCTGGCATACCCTATGCTCCCAACCCATACCTGCATATTCAAAATAAAACATGAACCAGTAGACATCCAACAGAATCTTCCATATCTGACTTCTCTTTGTTTGTATTTGTTTATTTTTGTTTTTACATCCAGATCATGGTTTCCCCTCCCTCCTCTCAGTCCCCCGCCCCCCAACATATCTGACTTATTTTTTTAATATTTTATTTTTAATATTTATTTTATTATTTTAATATTTATTTATTATGTATACAATATTCTGTCTACATGCATGCCTGCAGGCCAGAAAAGGGCACCAGACCTCATTACAGATGGTTGTGAGCCACCACGTGGTTGCTGGGAATTGAACTCAGGACCTTTGGAAGAGCAGGCAATGCTCTTAACTGCTGAGCCATCTCTCCAGCCCCCATATCTGACTTCTTTAGTGTTGTTTTTAAAAGGTCTCTCTGCTATATTTTCAGAGCTCCAGTTCTGCTGGCTCAGCCAGACACTTGGTACTGACCTACTGCAGAGCTGTAGACACATTCTGTTTCCTTGGGCCTCCATGTCCAGCCTAGGAAGGAGGGTAGCCCTGAGGACTGAAGTGCCCACATTCCCACTGGGGTGGCAGCATCAGGCAAAGTAGGCATAGAAGAAGATGTTGACACACATAAGGAAGATGGCGTTGAAATTGCACACGCGGGTCCAGAACGCGCGTTTCTGGGGTGTCAGGTCATCGCCTACAGGAGGTTGAGGTAGGTCAGTGAGGGATACAGGCTATACTTGGGTGTCCATACCCCCAGCCCCAGCGTGGTGGTGGGATGAGGAGCAGTCCCAGGGGTATCCACTTACCTGCTTTGGTTCCTAAGGATGGATCCAGAACCAGAGTCCACCAGGTTAGATTTTCTACCTGCAGGGAAGAGGTGTGGCAAGACAGAGTGGCCCGAAAAGTAGCAGGTCAGTTACAGAAAGAAGCTTCAAACAAAGACAGAGGTCTGGGCCGGGAAGGGTTAAGAGTCAAAGGTGAGAATGTCTGGAATCAGAGAGGGGCACAGACAGGAATCCATCAGTCAGATCAGGAATGGGGCCTGTGGTGACTGGGGTCAGGGAACAGGACTGCCTCACCTGGCTTTGGGGAGGGGGCGGGCTCAGTAGGCTTCCAGCGGCCATGACAGCACAGGTGAGGAGGAAAAGGGCGATGGCAAAATGCAAGTAGTGCACACTGCGTAGGAGGGCTGGCCCTGAGTCTGCCTGGCCGCAGGGGGGTTCCGGGTACAGGAATTCCAGGATCAGCCTCAGGGCACCCACCAGCAGCCCGGCCATTAGGCCCCAAAAGGCCCCCTGGGGAAAGGAGAGACAGAGAAGACCTCAAAGGACTCGTGGGGCACCCTTAAGGGGAACCCCATCGGACCTGTCTGGGCTACCCACCTGCTCATTGGCCCTCCTCCAGAAGATGCCCAGGACGAAGATGGCGGTGACAGGGGGCGCCAACGAGCTGGTCACTGACTGCATGTAGATGAAGAGCTGTCCACTGTTGGAGCCCTGCAGGACTGGGATCCAGGCCACGCTCACGCCTATGAGCACCACGATGACCAGCCTGCGGGCGGCCAGCCCTGCCTCAGCTTTGAACTTTCCTTGCTCCCCAAGACTTGCCTCTGGTTCCCTCTGCCCACTTCAGTGCAGGTCACGAGAGACCGGGCGCTCCTGCTCCATCTCCTGCCGTGGCTCTCTGCGGCCCATGCGGCCAGTTACTCAATCCTGCCCTTGCCTTCTCCGCTCGGTGTGCCCCCTTCTGCAAGCACGCACGTGCCTGGGTCCCAGTGTTTTCCTGATCTCGCTAAGCATTTGGGGGGTCGGTGAATGTCACAGTGGCCCTCCCACCTGGGGCCAGTCTAGTGGGATTTAGAACACCTGCGGAAACTGCACGATCTCGGACAGCATACCCTAGGCTCTTAACCCTCAACACTCGGCGGGTGACACCCAGCCCCCCACCTCCCCGCTGCCCGCGGGCGCTTTGCTCCTCCCCAAGGCCTCGCTGGAAGCTTTCCAGGCTTTGGGGCTGGCCTTGCAGACGGATCCACCGTCCTACGCCCAAGGAACCCAGGGGCAGTGTGGGTCTGGGGTCTTCAGAGGGGAGTCTGGAAACTCAAAGGTTGAGTCACCCTGCCAGGGCAGTAATCACACCTAATCGAGTGATCTCCCCTCTCACTCTGGGGTACGGTGGGAGAGGCTGGTGGCCGGCGCCACGCAAGATCGACTGACTGGCTGTGTGCAGGTGGGTGGGTCCTTCCCCCACCTTCCCTCTTTGCTTCAAGCCAGGCCCCGGGCAGAGGGTGGCAGAAAGAGGAGGTGCCGCTTTGATTGAGGCTAATTAACCCTTAGACTGGAGCACAGCTGGGCGCGGCCTCTTCAAAGCCTGGCGGTCTCCACCGACACGCCCCGCACCCTCCAGCCGGAGAGCCTAGCAGCTCCTGAACCTCAGTCTTCACACTGCTGGCCTTTGGTTCAAGCCGGGCCCCTGGATGAGGAGGCTTCCTCTTCCTAAAACAACCTCCAGGGGGTGCGCACACAGCCAATCTCATGAGTGTCTAGCATGGTGTGAGGTGTGTGTGTGTGTGTGTGTTGGGGGGCGGGCTCTGAGTTCTCCGAATTGCTCAGCTGGACATAGAACTCCAAGGGAGGAGACAGAATGGGGCAGCTGCGAGGGAAGTAAAGGGGTGGGGGGCAGGGTCCTGAGCATCACTGTCGGCCTGCAATCCCAGTTTGCCTGGAGGCCTAGGATAGCTCTCTGGCTTAGAATGAGACCAACCAGAAAAAGCCAGTTTCTGTGAGCCCAGGGAGACGGGAGGCATGGGGGCCACAGGCCAAGGTTGCTAGGGCTACTGGAGTCCTAGGCCAGAGAGCAGGGCACGGAGATGCCCAGACCCAGGGCCTGGGAGGTGGGAGTCTGAAGGGCTTCTTTCAAGGAAAAAACTATCTCAAACGGACAGGCCTCTGGTCACACTGCAGCTGCAGAAAGGCAGGAGCAAACAGGTGGTCAGGTGTCATGTGACCAGGTCTGATAGGTAAGAACCTGAACTGCTAGAGAGGCTAAAGGCTCCCTTCCTGCAGATGAGCTCATGACACTCCAGCTCCCAGGCATGTCCCAACAGGGCTCTTCTCACAGAAGCTGGCTGCTTTGCATCACCGGAACAAGTGCTGGGAGAGCCCCTGCCCCAGGCTCCAGGAGGAAGGCTGCAGTCAGCCCTTGTTAGTGAGCAGGGAGCACACAAGGAGACTACCCTCCACTGCCCTGGCCAGTCCCTCCTAGGCTCACAGTGAAGCATAGGGGCAGGGTGGAAATGTCCCGCAGGAAGGCTCATTTTGACATATTATGGCCCGACAGTGAGAGAGGGATCTGGTAGTGGTCTGGGGTGCGGTGCAGAGTGCTTACTCTTTGTGGGGGAGAATCTAGAGGGCTAACCGGAGGACAGAGAGGAGGTTGGGTGCTGGGTAGAGGAAAGAAAGCCAGCTGGAGGAAACAGCAGGTCCTCAGCCGGCCCAGGGTGTTGGAAGCCTGAGACTAGGGGCATCATTGTGGTCCAGGTGTGGCCAGTTTGAGGATTAGCTCTGGGATCCCAGGGTAGCCAGAGCAAACCAGAAGGCTCAGAAAGATCTTTGGTGTTGCCAGGGAAGCAGAGTTGACTCCAGGTGAAGGAGTCAGCTCAGGAATGACAAGTATACCCCAGATACTCTGGCCGCTTCCCTTCTTTCTCTGCTTAGCAAATTCCTATGCATCCTTCAAACCCCAAATCTGGTGAGGACTTTCCCAGGCAGATGGTGCTGCAGAAGCCCCACCATGCCCCGGACGTCCCATACCGGCCCACCAGCAGCAGCTCCCGCTCTCCTGCACCGGGCCGCAATCGCCTCCAGATGTCCATGGTGAAGAGTGTGCTGCTGCTGTTAAAGATGGAGGTCAGCGATGACATGAGTGCAGCCATCATCACGGCTATCATCAGCCCTCGGAGACCTGCGGGCAGAGCAGGGCCCCCACTGTGACCCTGCCAGACTGCGAGGGAGACAAGTGAGCAGAACTCTTAGAGGGCAGCCTGTGGCCCTGCTGTGGAGTAATTACCCACATGGCAGGGCTGTTTTCAGCTCCTTCTGTGGAGCCCGAGCTGACAAAGCGCTTTCCCTGCCCCGATCCAACATGCCTGAGAGTGAGGAGCCCAGGACAGCCTCAGGTACTGCAGAACGATAGGGATTGGGAGGTGAGGCGGGTGGCAAGCATGGGACCCTTTGCTGCGAGGTCACACCTGGGTAGTGGCCTAGTCTCTGGAGCTCCTTGGCATGCCACTTCCTGTACACAGCAAGTCCCAGCAGGCACGGTGGAGCCCTTCTTGACTCTGGGAGAGAGCCTTTGTGGAGGTGAGGGCATGAGAAACCCACTCTACTTTCTGTGAGTGAAAGGCCCCCATCCAGGCAAGGCAACATTTTGGGAGTTAGGGGCTCCAAAGGGCCCAAAGGACTCAGTGCTGTGGTACTTTAGTTTGGTCACCTCCTGTGACTCCTCACCTCTGCCTTCCAAAGAGGTGTTGATACAGCCTGACCTCAACTCTGTAGTGTGACTTCTAGGCATCCCATGACCTGCTTTGTTTACTTCTCAGGAATGTGAATTAAGTCATGGTTCTCCCACATATTTATCTACCCTCCTTGGTGCTTGGGAAGTTGTTGGCTTGTTGATCATTGTACCCATTTCTCAGACAGGGAGCTCAAGGCCTAGAAAGGACTGGAGGCCCAACAAGTATCTGTCAGTGCTAGGCTGAGTCCTTAGCTCAGTATGGAAGGGGAGGCACAGCCTGAGGTGGGAGTCCACAGTGTGGTCAGGCCCTGTCTCTGTTGTGTCATTAGGCTTAATCCTAGCAACAACCCTCAGGTTGGGTAGACTCATTATCCCCAGATTACACACAAGGGCACCAGGCTCTAAGCAGGGAAGTGGTATGCTCCAAATAACTCCACTGGCACATAGCAGAGCCGAGGTCTATTCCCAGGTATGTGGACATCTGTGCTCTGTGGGGAGGAAGGCGGGAGGCAGGGAAGAGCCTCGACTTCCAGATGAGTCTAGATTGCAGGGCTCATGGAGCTGGCTTAGGGTAGGACTTCCCCCAGTCCTGGACCATTTTTGCTGCTTGCATGCCTCTCTGGCTGGGGAACTCACCCCCTAATACTAGAATAGCAGGGCTACCACAAAGACCATGGGGAAAGTCAAAACCTGTGCCATGGCAACAGTACCTTTGTGGGTGGAGCTCATTCTTACAAATATGGGTGCTAAGGGTCCGGGACTTTGGATCTCAAAGGAGTAAGCAATGAAATTCAGTTTGCATGTCATCCTCAGCCTCAGTTTCCCCATATGAGAAGGTATTAATAAAAAGGTGAAGACAAGGCAGTAGGTAGCCTTTCTCTAGAGGTAATACGCATGCTCAGGTCTGTAGTAGCTGGCATGCCTGTGGCCTTAGCAAGATCACCTCACCTGCCTAGGACTTTCTTTTTTTTTTAGATTGATTTATTTATGTGTATGTGTATCTGCTTGCATGAGTTTATATGTAACACATGTGTGTGCAGGAGTCCTGAGAAGCCAGTATAGGAGTTCAGATCCACTGGGACTGGAGTTACAAGTGAGCCACCATATGGGTACTGGAAACCAAACCCAGGTCCTCTGCAATGTGTCTTAACCACACCTCTCCAACCCCAAGTTCCCCATCTTTAGATGGAGGTGAGCCCAGCTGAGCAGTCTGGGGAGAAAAAAAGAACTGACATAGGGGAAGCCTGGGTTTTTACTTACGGTCACTTCTGTCTGGCCATTCAGATGGCACAGGGACTCATACAGAGCAGTCCCCACAATTCCAATCCTCAGTCGCCAGGATCTATCACCTGTATATGACATAGGGACTCACCTATGGGCATCAGCTCCATGACCAGCTTTGGGTAGGCAATGTTGGAGCAGCCAATCTCAGCCCCACAGGCCCGCAGACACTCAGATGGTACCACACAGCCCACATCATCTGTGAAAAATAGTACCTGTGCATCACATACACACATACACCAGACTAGCCTGAGCTGCTGGCTTGGCGGCCCCTCTGACTCCTCACCTCGGTTTCCCAGAGCTAGTCCTTGGGGCTCTGGCCCCTGTTATCATCCCTACCGCTGCCTCCGTCACTGGCCCTCATCTGGTTGTTTCCTGCTCCCAGCTCCAAGTCAGGGGCTACTGGCGGTGTGCCCTACCTGTGACCCTGTGCCAGTGCTTATTGCTTCTACACCTGCCCACCCATTGGTGGTCTCAACCACCCTCTTTAAGGTTGAAAATAGAATCAGGAGAGGGGAGGCCTGTACCCGGCCTTCTTGCTCACCCAGTAGCACGTCACATGTGACAGCCTGTTGGGTGGTGGCTGGTCCCATAACCTCTGTCTAGAACCCCAGCACCCAGGACCATCTTACTTGCTAGTGCTTTTTTGCACACGCCCAGCACTTGGACGCCTCCGTGTCTCTGAAGGCACAGGCCCTCCTCCCTTGTGCTATTGTCCTATTGACACCCATGGCCACCTTTGTTTATCCCCTGCTCCTCCTCTGAGGTTCCTGACTGCCCCTACCTGTCTACCTGCCTAGAGCTCCTGAGGTCCAGGATCAGTTCCTGTTGTTTGTTTACCATGCCACCTTCCTCACCAGCCCTGGAGCACCCCAAGGGCAGACACCAGTTTGAATCATCCCCAGTTCCTGGCATCGCCCAGTCCAGGGCTGGGCCCAGAGGAGACAGTCTGAACTTTTGCTGAATGAAGGAATGAGTAAGTGAGAGGAGGGAAGAGGGCGGAGGGCGGAAGGACAGAGGAAGAGAAGGGAGAAAGGTTCCCAGGAAGAGCCCCAGCAGTTCAGGTACTTTCTCCCACCTCCTCTCCCAGGGGGTTTACAGTCCTGGGGAAGACGCACAGACAAACCCAGAACAGAGCATGGGACTCTGGTAGGCTCCTGAGACCTCATGGGCCCGAATCTTAGAGACGATTTGCATCCTGGGCCCAGCCCTGCCAGTTCTGCCACTGGAGGACCCAACCCTCCTGGGAGGCAGGGACAGCATCCCAACACATAATGACTCTTAAAGCCAGGTGAGGGGATACCCCAAATTCACCAGGCCTCACTCACCCAGGCTCCTCACCCAAACTGAGTTCCGGCCTGGACACCTGAGGCTGGGCAGCAGCAAAGGCCAGGGGGCTCCTACCAGGCTCTGGCTTTCCTGGGGTCAAGTGTCATACCCAAGCCTGGGACCACCTCTCTCTACCTCACATCCTACTTCCCCATGGTCAGTGCCAAGTCCAGCCTGGTTCCTGGTGACAGGATTTCACCTCCTCCCTGCCCCTTCTATCTACCAGTCTGCCATGGCCTGTCCTGCTCACCATCCCCGTATACCACAGAGGGTCACAAGGCTCAGACTGTGCCAAACCTTGACCCTTTGACCACCTTCATTCCCCCGCACCTCCGCCCCCACCCCCCGCAGGCGGCACCCAGGCTTTTGTGGGCATCTTTGAGCCTCTGTATCTGCAGTTCCCTTTCCTTGGAACGTCCCTCCCTCCTCATAAACTCAAGGAATTTAAACTCATTCTTCTGATCTCACGAATGTTTGGCTTCCCCAGGTCTGGTAGCAATATCCTCCTCAGCACCAATAACCTTCCAACTTCTGTCAGCCCTGCTCCCCACCAAGGTTGTGGGGTCCCTGGGAGACTCCTGGGTTTCAGTCATGCCTAACACAGCCAACACATGGCAAATACTGGCCAAGTTTGTTGACCAACTGAATGGCCCTCTCCTAAGGGAACTAGCTGCCAGGCACACTGCCTTCAAGAGCAGTTAAAGTCCTCATGACATTCCACCAGGCACATTTGCCCATCTCTGGGAGCCAGTTCAGAGGCTGTCTGGCTAGTAAGTGCTAGAAACAGGCACGTCGGCCCCAGTTGGAAACCGGTTTCCCCAGACCCTTGCTGTATGATGCAGAGTGATCCTTTAATGTCTCTAAGGCTGTTTCCCCTTGTACAGGACAAAAACTTAACCTCAACTCAACCATCAAACCTTATGTGAACTTAGCTCAAAATGGATCATGGGTTTTAATGCACACTATTAACAAGTGATTGAGCTTTGGGGAGTAGGTCAAAAGTGACATTACACCAAAAGCATGATCTGTGACGGGCAAAACTGATGGAATGACACTATCAAAACACACAACTTCTGCTCGGTATGATACCTGTAAAGAGGACAGAGAGACACACCCTGCACACGCCAAACAAAGACTGTATCTACAGTACATAAAGAGTGCTAGAAACTCAGCAACAGAAAGGAATCTCTCAAGAAATGGGAAAAGCTACAAGCAGAACCCCACTGAGGACATACACATGGCAAACGAACACCTGAGACGAACACCTGAGACATTCAATGGCTGCCCTGGCTAGTTTTATGCCAACTTGACTTAAGTCAGAACCGTGTGAGAAGGTCAGGCTGTAGGTAAGCCTGCATGGCATTTTCCTAAATAGTGATTGATGTGGACGGGCTCAGTCCAGTGTGGGTGGTGCCATCCTGGGCTGGTGGGCTTGGGTTCTGAAAGAGAGCAGGATGAGAAAGCCCTGGAGAGCAAGACAGTACACAGCACTTTCTCGCGGCCTCTGCTCCAGTTCCTGCTTCCAGGTTCTTGTCTTGAGTTCCTGCCCTTACTTTTCTGGAGCATGGACTGCTACCTGGAAGTATCAGGAAAAATAAACCCTTTCCTTCCCAAGTTGCTATTGGTCATGGTGTTTCATCAGAGCAGTAGGAACCCTAAGATATCAACAAAAGTCAAGAGTACAGTTTGTAGCACGGTGAGACTACTGAGGCCAAGCAGTAGTGGTGCACACCTTTAATCTCAGCACTTGGGAGGCAGAGACAGGTGGATCTCTGTGAGTTTGAGGCCAGCCTGGTCTACAGAGCTAGTTCCAGGACAGCTAGGGCTACAGAGAAACCCTGTCTCAAAAGAAGAAAAAAAAAAGGCTATTGAGCTGTAGAGCCCTTGCATGAGCGGCTAGGCTCCATCCCTGGCACTGCAAAAGGAATAAATAATAACCACACCAAAATATTATACAATTATGCAAATGGATGAGCACGTGTTAGCCAGATGGGAGACATTCGCCTTGTTGGTGGAGCTAGAAGATGGCCCAGAGCTCTAGGCTGCACCCTGGAAGGTTGCTAATGACACTGTCATCTTCACAGGACCAGGAGAGAGAAAATGGCAGCCAGGGTTAGGGTGAGAACCTGGATGCCTAGTTCTAATGAGTAAGGTCTCTGCAGTGGTACAGTTCTGCTATTCCAGGCTGGCCTCAAGCCTGCAATCCTCCTGCCCCAGCATCCCAAGTCCTGGGATTGTAAATGTGCACTGCCTTGTACAATTTGATGGAAACTACTGTCACACAAATCTATACATATGACAACACTGTATACCTTCCCAACACACACACACATATGCACACACAGACACGCACACAGAGACACGCACAGAGAGACACGCACACAGAGAGACACACACAGTACTATTGAGATCTAATGCAGTTTTGTGGATGGCACCAGAGACTCTTCTGACTGAGACAGTTATGTCATGATAGACCACTATGGGAAGTGGTCAAAGGTACCAAAAGCCTCCCTGTTCCCTTTTTACAAGTTCTGGTGACTTGACCAAGAGTGAGGCAGATAAAGAGCCTTCCAGCCTGGAGGCCAGGTTCCTTAAGGAAACCAGGAACTCTACAGTGATAAGAACAAGAGAACAAACTGAGAACCAGTACAGTGTTGCTGGGAGTCCAAGACACACACCCCTGCCTCTCTCGGCTCCTTGGAAATGGGAGGGGAGGGGGTGATTCAGGTAGGCTAGAGGGGAAAGGTATGGAAAGGAGCAGATGTGGAAACACAGTGTTCTGCCGGGTGGTGGTGGCGCACACCTTTAATCCCAGCACTTGGGAGGCAGAGGCAGGTGGATCTTTGTGAGTTTGAGGCCAGCCTGGTCTACAAGAGTTAGTTCCAGGACAGGCTTCAAAGCTTCACAGAAAAACCCGTCTCGAAAAAACAAACAAACAAACCAAACCAAACCAAAGCAAAACAAACAACAAAACCAGTATTCACAGGCATAAGTCCTGCTATGGATGAGGGCCCAAAGGTTGAGGTGCAGGGCTTGGGCCTGGGAATCAACGATGAGACACTGTATACTAACTAGACTTGAGGGGCAGCAGATGCAGGGTAAGGAGGGCTTCCAGGCTAATGGGCAGTGGCGATGTGTCTGGAGGGTACAAGGATGCTATGAGACATCTCAGTCAGACAAGTCCAGGGTCCACTGGAATTCAAACCAACTCCGTCCTGGCCAAGAGCTGGTGGATGGTTTGGGGAAGACAAGGCAGGATTGGCTTGGTGCCCTGCAGCTAAAAGCTTCAGGGAGGGAAGGAGCCGTTTGTCTGCAGGGTTTATTGAGTTTTGCCAATTTGCACCTGACACCCTGCCCTCAGATGTGAACCCAATGTTCTCCATTGCTGGGGGACACTTAGCCAAGAGCTGGGTCTGAGCACAGCCTGGTCCTGTTCACCCTTCCCTGCCGCAGGGTTTAGGCACGTGCTGTGCTCCAGGTCATGACAGGTGGGTATGTCAACTCTGCAGACATCAAAAGTGTGGAAGCAGTTGGGTCAGTCCATGACCCAACCCTCTCTCCTCAATTGGACAGCTGAGCATCCCACCTGCGAGAAGACAGAACTGGGCCAGGGCTGGATCAGGATCGCCAGCAAAACTGGGGGAGGAGAAAGGTTTCTGTGCGGCCTGAGGCAGCAAACTGTCCAGCCTTGCTCTGTCTGTGGGAGATGAATCAGCTTCCGGCCCCGCCCTCAGGACCGCACGTGACCCCAGGTGAGGGTGGAGGGGCTGGGAGGGACCGCCCTTAGTCACCGGCAGTCCAGCCTGCTGCCACTACCAGCGCCTGTGGTTCCTGGGGTCGCCCGCTCTGCACAGCGCTACCTGCCCGGTA